GATAAATATATTAAAATATATCAAATAATATATTAAAATACAAAAAAATATTTTAAACTTTTTTTGTATTTCTGATCAAATAAATGATCAAATCTAAGCAGTTTGAGACATTGTTGAAGCATATATGAGCTCATTTGAGATCCCAGGAGAAAGTAAAAAGTAAAAAAGTTAAAGAAGTACTCATTTGCTCTCTATTTAATTTATTTGCTGAAGGTTTCAACATACCAGTTACCTTATAACACTTACGCAGGCAGGGCTGTGTCTCTCTTATACAGTGAGGGGAACTGAGATTTTAGATGTTGTAACTACCAGCAATTACAGAACAAACATTCAATTACATCCTGAATTAAACCTTCTTTCTTTCGTTCTTTATTTCATTCCTATGCACAACATCATTTTAATGCACTCACACACATGCACACAAGCACAGAGAGCACAGATGGAAGTTGCTGAACATTGACAGATGCATCAGAGTAGGAGGGGGATTGTTCACCGCTGGTACGTCTTAGATGAACATCTCTATCCAGGGGAGGCACAGCATGTGCATGTGGACGCGCACGCATGTGTGTTTGCACACATGTGTCTATTAAAAAGCCATTGCTTGGCAGACCCCTGCAGTACATGAGGGAACTCCAGATGTCACCCACATACACTCACACACACAGCTTAACTTATACCAGACATCAACAATAGAAGGCTCCTTTCTATTTGCTGCCCAGGGTTATTTCAGATGAATCTAAAACTGAAACTAAAATTAAAACCATAAAAAAAACATTAGCAATAAATAAAATAAAAAACAATAAAATACACTTTTTCAGAAATTTTCAGCTAGTTGCCAACAGGTCTCATTTAATTTGATGCACTAAAGTTTAATTTGATGTTCTAATATAACTAAAACGGAAAGACAAAATTTACATATATTACCCCCCCCCAAAAAAAACAAAAAACAAAATATAAACGAAACTAATAATGACAAAAACACACAACAAAACTACTAAAACTTTAACTAAATTAATATTTATATACTGAACATTTACGGTATTAGCTGTGGTTGCTAGAACCCTACTGTAAAAATTATGGTAGCAACATTTTAGGCTTAAAGGGATTGAATTTAAATTTACAGTAAAGACAAAACTGTAAAAATTTTATTAACTAATATAATGTTAATATGAGATCTTGCTACTCTGTTTTGTATCTGTAAAATATACTGATAGCAACTATAATAATATAAGCGGTAAAAGAGACAGATGTTGAATTAGATAGCCCTTCCACAAGCTGAGTTATACAGTAATAAACAGAATGTGCAGTTGCATGAGTGTTATGCATGAAATAGAAAAAGCCATCATGATAACACACTACACTAAAACAATGTAATAAACATTAATAAGCAACATAAAATGTAACTCAAAACTCAAATGCACATAATTGTTATCCGAAATTAACAAGAAACATAAATGTTTAAACAAAATACCATCAAATGTAAATTCTCTTGAATAGAATATCAGTTAATCTTTTTTTACTGTAAATTATAATTACTTAATTTTACAAAAAACATTTCCAAAGTCTGTACGTTGAACAGTATTTTACTGTAAAATTACTTAAAATGTCCTGTTAAAATTACAGTATATAGTAAGGGAACTTGCTGTTGAAAGGTTGGCAGGATAGCATTTTTAGAGTCTTTTATAGTTTTTACAGTGTATATTGTATTTAATATAATACAATAATACTCCAGGTAAAATTAACAACATGCATAAACTATAGATGCAATAAAACATAAGTGTATATGCTAACTACTGGCTTAGCTGAACACACACACACACACACACACACACACACACACACATCAACGTTCATCCAAGCTCCAATTAGGCAGACGTCTGCCACTTTAATTAATGCAACACATCACATCCAGCAGGGAGGGAGGGGCGACTAAATGAATTTGTGTGTTTAATTGACATGGTGAAACTGCGGGTGGTCAGTGCTGTGATGTTTTGCAGTATGTGAGTGTGTCAGTGCGCTCGCAGCGAGGGACGTTCTCATGGGTTTGCTGAAGGCATAAAGTAACATGAGCGATAGTTTTGGCAGCTAGTAGCCTATACTGCTTGCAAATTTTAAAAGCATAAGGCACAATAAGGAGTGTGCAGACTGTGCACGCTTTCGTGAGCATGAGAAAGGAAAAAAAGGGATGTTTTCTGCACCGCTTCAGCAGAATTACAGCAAAAGAAATCATCTTTCATCTGAGTCATTCTGAGTTTTCCATTTGTATCACATGTTAAACAATTACAAGACATGTACCCTGAATAAGACAAGAAGTCTTGATTGAGATGCGACCTGCATACAAAATATGCATATAACGCAACTAGTGCACCAGTGAATCAAAAACATACAGTGCGATCAGTGTAAGTGATTCCTGAAACATACACTGGGAACAAAACTATGGGATCAGACTGATTCCTGCAATGAGTGATGCTTATGAGCCCATTCTTTGTAGTGAAAACATACAGCACATCCAATATTGACCAATTCTGGAAACAAATGATGCTTATGAGCCGGTTCTTCTTAGTGAATCAAAAACATACAGCGGGACCAGTGTAGACAGATTCCTGCAAAGAATGAGTCTTATGACTTTTTTTTTTGTGAATTAAAAATATACAGCATGACCAGTATAGACCACTTCCTTATGAAATGGTTCTTTTCACAAAATTCAAAACATACAGTGCAACCAGTGTACACTGATTTAAATCAAATTAGTCTTGGTCGGTTCTTTAGTGAATCAAAAACATGCAGGGCAGCCAGGGTAGACCAGTTCATGCAACAAATTACTTTTATGAGCTGTTTTTAAGTGAATCAAAAACATACAGTGCAACCTACTGATTCCTACAATGAATAAGTCTTAGGAGCTGGTCCTTTTTAGTGAATCAAAAACATACAGCACAACCAGTGTAGCTCAAATCCGAAAAATGAATGACTCTTGTTAGCCAGTTACTCATTACCATCATTAGCAAAGGGAGAATTTCTTTCATGTGTATTTAAATACAATTGAAATATACCCAAATTAATTTCAATCAAACTGTAACTTTGAAAATTTTGTATCGAAACCCAATCCTAAGAAAGTGAGAAATTAAATCAAGACATTTTCCATATACTTCAATAAATTGCATCTATGTAATACTAGGCATTTCTATGCTTAATGGTAATGCTTTCAAAAAAGAGAGGGAGGCAAAAAGCATGTTTAGTGAAGCAAGACACTATGATTTCCAGCTGCTCACAAGCAGGAAAGGAAGTAACAGAGGGTTTGGACGACTTGGTGTGTGTGTGTGTTGTGTATATGTGTTTGGGAAAGCCCACTGATGCCCTTTGACCCAGGGGAAGTGATCTGAAAGAGAGAACTTGACTTGTGGGGCCTCTAGAACAGAAGCATTGTGTCTGCCCATTCTCTCTGAATGGAGGAGGAATGGACGAGGGGAGGAGTGGAGGAAAGGAGAAATAGAATAAAGAAAGACAGGAGGCCTGTGGTACAGGGCAGAGGGGTCGGACAATGTTCTCTTTGCCCCCTGAAACAATAAAGAAACCTTTCTTTAAGGTAACAGCTTCAAAACATGAAAAACTGAAAAATATTGAAAAAATATACACATTTGTAGTTAATCTGTTAAATTTAACAAACCACACAGTGGACATCATCAGGACAGACGTGGTTTTCTCTGCTGTTTAATATGTTCACTTCTTGTCCAGTTTCATTTCAGTCATTTTTATCTCGTTCATTCTGTGGAATATTCTGAATGGAAGATAGAGGAAATTTTTAATAAGGTGGGGGGATTGTGAAAGAGAGGGGGAGCGAGAGAGAGAGGGAGGATAGGGGATAGATGATAA